TGACAGAGAGGTTATTGCAAACAAAAAAAATTTCGATTGACAAGTTAGTCGGTATTCTCCACAAAGCAGTTACAGGACTTGAACAGTGGAACTTTGTAACTGAACAAGAAATTATGTCTATTTATAGAATTCAGGAGAAAGTATTAGTACAAAAAACGAAGCAACTTTACATTGAAAGAAATGTTTAATAAAGTAAACATATAAATATTAAGCTTTTTTTTTTTTGTAAATTTTGATTCTAAAGGGTACTTTAGATCATAATTGCTCTTTATTTCATAAATTACGGTTTCATATTTTTAATTGTATAATTTCTGCATGTCATCTTACCAGATTTAAATTGATGATCTATAATCCGAAAAAACTCCTAATCAGGAATTGCCGAAGTCCTGACGAGTCCGGATAACGTACTTTGTACTGTAATACTTGAATTCTAAAATTTAGTGTTAAATTTAGGTCTTTAAGAGAGATCACTTTCTTTATGTCTGACCTTATTTCACTTAGCTTTAACTGTAAGTTAGGATCCACTTTTAATTTTATTCTGTATCTATTTTTCAAATAAAATATGGAAGAAAATTCTTGTTCACACAAATAGGTTGTGAAAAAGGCAATAAAAATCTAATAGCTTTATTTGAAATGCCTTTAATTTTTTTCTTCTTAGCCAAAAATTTCTATCAACTGTTCATTTCCTTCACGAGGTTTTAGAACTTAACAGTTAAAAATACTTTGTTTCTTTGCATACCACATATTTTCTCTTGCGTACCACTACGCATACCACTGGCTGAGAATTGCTGCTCTAGAGACATAAAACTTGCAAGTTCACCGCACCCTTTCAGCTGGGAGGACATCACTGTCCTTTCAAATAGAGATTACTAAGGCCAATATAATGGCCATCCCATTCAAAAAGGTTAAAAAGCAGTAGTTTGCAATTTTCTTTTCTTCCTCTCCCCCTTAAATAAATGTGAAATTTTTAATTTTGACTTCTCATTTTTGCAAAATTTCCATATTTTAATGCAAAAATTATATATCCTGATAATAAGACATTATTATGCACAAATTTGACCAAATGAATTGTTATTTTATATTACTAGATGAAGTATGTTCTTTCTGTTAATTAATAAAAATTAAAATTCTAACCAAATATCCTGGTTTAATGACAGTGACAGTTGAGGGACAAAAAATGCTTTTTACTAAATTCATCTTACCATTTCAAATTAAGGAATTATCTTAACCCAATTTTCAACTTCATATACATTACACAATACTAAAATTTTTGTTTTTGCTCATTTAATTACCTAACATTTTAATGTCACACAGGAAAAATATTACTTTGAAAATATGTCAAGGTAGGGTAATTTTTCACTGGTTTTAAATATTTTAATATTTTAGGCCCGACCAATGTAAACAATTTTACACTGCACATTCATTTGTTAATTTACATTTGAGAGTCATATCAAAAGTATGACTGATTGTTATAGGCCATTTTTGGCTCCATCAGTAGAAAGAAACAGGTGCTTCTCAGAGTGCAGAGAAAAGAGAAGAAATTCTAAGGAAGACAAAAGAAAAACATGCTTCACTCTTACTATTTAAATATCATAATAGAAGCAGCTATGGTATGATGGCTGTACTGAAAGTAATATAAAAAAATCAACCTTTAAACTGTACTCGAACATTCGTCCAAATAAAATCTTTGCTAATATAAAATTATAAGTAAAATTATTTAAACATATTAAATTTATCCTAAAATGTTTATGCATCTTGTTTTATATAAAAACTCAATAATGTTAGATAATTTATTTAACTCATTCTTTCTAAGCATAAAACAAACTAAGATGTTCTTCGTACAGAGAGTTTAAAAAAAAAAAAAAAAAAAGGAAAGGGAAAAAAAAAAGAAGCGGGAGGGGAGAGGTATTTCTATATCTCCTGTTCTAGTTGGCCTATTGACGAAATTGAACTTGCATTTTTCATACCTTGAAAGTGCAACTTAGGCTATATATTAGATTTATATATACCATTGTTCTAACATATATATTTTGACACAAAGACTTTTTCTGAAATGACATGCTGATTTTTTCGTATTTCAATTCCACAATTCAAACTATGCCAAACAAAAATCATAGTGGCAGTTTTTTTACACACTTTTTCCTGATTCGTTTAAAAAAATTCTATTTTTAAATAACTTTTATAAATTTTTCAAAAAAAAAAAAAAAAAAAAAAATTTGAATTATAATCTACAAATTTTTTTTAATATTAACCTAAAATAGATATATTTTTTGGCAGAAGTGCAAAAAATCCAAAGATATACATGAACGTCTATGTTATCTTAATCAGTGTGCTTCCACTGGTGTAGACTATTAAGGTATAGGTTTTGAAATTTGGCATCCTTAGCAATAATAATGTTAAATGTGCCCCTAAATTTCCTCAGTACTCACCAGTAAGCAAATCATTCATATTGGAAAAGAGTTCTACAGGGACAAAATTTGCTGACATAAATGAAAGAAAGTGAGCTGTATGTGTAAAAGAGTAGATCAGAATTTTTCCAAAAATTATTCAAAATTTGGGTTCAGGGAACTTGGCTTGTAATGGAAACTATCGTAAATAATATTTTAATATATACAAAGCATAGCTCCAATAATGGAACTTGAATGATTTCTGTCAGTAAAAATATGCATATTTTATCTTGCATTCTGTATGATCCTTGTATTAATGAATATATGCATCAATATACAGTGATACACCTTCCTATGCTACAATGTTCAAGCAGAGAAAAGCACCACACACAGATGATTTGAGACAAGTAACTAACAAAGAAATGTGCACAAAAGTCAAGGAATATGTGATAAGGAATTAACAGTTAAGAGTTTCTCAGAATGGCAACAGAAATACTAGGTACCACTGAGGATCAATAGAAAAAAAAAATCTTCCATGAAAATGTGGGATGTCAAAAGTATGTATAACAAGTGCCATGAATCTTAACATCAGAAAGGAAGAATGCCAGGTTGTTAATTCTTGAGAAGCACCCCCTAAATGCTCATGAAAATAATTTTTAAATATGGATAGTGAGAGTAGATTCACAATTGTTGCCTTGTAGCAAAATAAACATGTTAATGGTAGGGAAGCACTGGATCTTCTTGGCTTTGTAAATTCAGAACATAGAAATTTTCTGGGAAGATTTTGGCCATCAATTTTTGGAACAAATTCTCACTCATTGATTATTTTAATCTGCTGTAGTTTCCCTTTATGGCATGTTGATGGTGGATGAAAAAGCTGGCACAAATACAATAACAGGTTAAGACGCAAGAGAAACACGCCAACATGGAAAATAAAACAAGCAAATCGACAACCTTGCATTCGGCGTAGATTTTTTAAAGTCCCAATCAATATCAAGAGCAAAACGGGTCCCCCTGCATCAGGAGTAAAAAATTCGCAGATTTTTTCCCTGCGTATTCATCTTTAAAGGTAAATTGTCCCATTTTTTAAAGAACATTTTCTTTCTTCTTTGTAAAGAAAGACATATTTTTTTTTCTATTATGTTTGTTTAATTAAGCATGATAAAGCATACAAGGGCTGTATGTCTGAGTGAGATGACTTTGTGGAGAATTCTCTAACGGAAATTGGCTCTTATTTAAATTAGGCATGGGTAAAAAAAAAACCCATGAAAACTCCTAAACTAGTCAACTCATTCACCGAGATCCAGATCCGATATATGATTAATATCGTTCTGTTGATCAGTTTTCAAATGCAATATTGCAAGCCTTTAACTTTTCTTTCTGTGCAGGAGAAAATTCCATGAAGGCCTACATGAACTTTTAAACTGATTTGCTGAAGAAGATTATTATAGTTTCACCCATCACAATGAATTATCACTTGATGCCCTATATGAATTCCCTCTTAACACAAATTTTAAGTAGTAATGAAAAGCTGAAAATTATATAAAATACATGATACTGATTTTTCTATGCCACTTTATGTATTGAATTATCAACAATTAGCTAAATTTTAAATTTTGTTTGGTTAATAAATTAAGGCAGAATGTACAAGTGATCAAGATCAAAATGCCATTTATTCTGCTTTAAATGATATATTTTGAAATGATGTTTCTCGAAGGGTTTTAAAGCTGAAAATTAACAATTGACTTTTTATGGTATTTCTATTTTTCAGCTAGTTTAGCACTCTTCGTAGTCTTTCACTGCAGGCAAGTGCCTCCCTTTTGTTCTGGCTCTATATGTATGTATGCTGCTCACATTGTGGATAAATGACAGATTCAAAATTCAGTGGCATCTAGAGCTACTAACTTTGAAATACACAGTCTTCCACCCAAATTTTAAATTTCAGATTTGTTTATTTATTTTATGTTTTGTACTAATTAACGAACACTTTATTAAACTCATCAGTTTGAAAGCAAACAGTGACAACATTGCTCAAAATGAAACATTTTTTATCTCCAGCACACTAGACTGTTGCCATTCTATAAAATGCAAAATAGCTATCTTTCAACTTCAACAAAATACTCAGTTATTTAAAAGCAATGTGTTGTCACTGCCTGAAAGGGGGGACACTTTTATCTTCCATGCACCAGCATGTTGTCATTAAGTGTAAGATACTTAACTTTTAAATTTAATCCCTTATTGAACAAGAAACTAAAGCGATGAGTGCAGTTCTTAAGAATATCTTTTCTAATTTTAAAACTGATTAATTTAAATAATAAGTTATCTAATTAGAAATATTTAATATTTTCATGAAATTACAATAGCTGGATTTAAAATCATTATTTATTTATTCCTTTTTTTACAACTATTTTAGGGAGCTAGTCATAAAAATTACAGATTCCACTTACCAAATATTTAAAATCTCTAAGCATTAAAGTTTTCATTAAATCCTCTTTCTCTCTCAATGAACATTCAAAGAGTATTTACAATAACATTTCTTATGACTCCTATTACTTTATACTGCAGTAACTTAATGAATAACTTAAACTGCAATAATTAATGACAATCTTTTACCTGTATTAAATTATGTTCTGGAAGTTGAGAAGCCTGAAAATGATCTTTCAGCAAAAGTTGTGAAAAATTACTATGAGTCTGGATGGCTTCTTGTTCTCTTAATGGATCTCCACAAAGACGATACAGATCTATTTAAAATAAATAAAGATTATAGATAAATTCTTGTTTTTTTAAGAAAAATATAAATGTATATTATGATATTTAGCTACGAGGAGTATTCAGAAAGTAAGGAACGTTTTGGAATTAAAAAAAAACTAAGTACAAGAAAAGAAAAAAATATTATATGCATCAGAAAGAGCGACTCAAATTCTACTTTTCTACATAGCTACCAAACAAATGGAGGCACTTATCATAGCGGTGAACAAGCTTTGAAATTCCTTCGTCATAGAATTCTGCCGCCTGTGATCTTAGCCACTCAGAGACGTGCACCCGCAGCTCCTTGTCGTTGTCAAAGCGCTGTGTTGCTAGCCAGCTCTTCATTCTTGGAAACAAGTGAAAATTACTAGGTGCAAGATTGGGACTATAGGGCAGATGAGGAGAAACCTCCCATTTCAATGAATTAAGGAGTTCTTGAGTGCGGTTTGCCATGTGAGGTCGGACATTGTCGTGCAAAAACAAAATTTTGGACGTCAACTTTCCTCGACGCTTGTTTTGAACTGCTCTCCTAAGGTTGCGCAAAGTTTGACAGTACCGCTCAGAGTTTATTGTGGCACCACACTCGAGAAAATCAATCACAAGCACACCTTGCCTATCCCAAAACACAGTCGCCATAATCTTCTTCGGCGACAAGGTTTGCAAACATTTTCTTGGTCTTTTGGGGGAACTTGTGTGTCCCCACTGCATGGACTGTAATTTTGTCTCGCAATTCACGTGTCTCACCCACATCTCATCACCAGTTACAATTTGATCCAATAATGAATCACCATGTCTGTTCATAGGCCTCCAGAAATGTCAAAGCTGTCCCCATTCGCTGACTTTTATGGTGGTCTGTAAGCAATTTCGGCACCCATCTTGCACAAAATTTGCAGTAGCCTAGCTTTTGTGTGACAATTTCAAACAACAAAGTCCGTGAAACTTGTGGAAAACTAGGCAAAAGCTCCGTTATTGTGAAACAGCGATTTTCACGAATCTTTTCATCAACTTTAGCGACCAAGTTTGTCAGTCACAATGCTAGGGCGTCCACTCTTCTCTTTATCGTGAATGTTAGTTCGGCTATTTTTAAACTCAATGTACCATTTCCAGATTGAACTTTCATACATTAGGTTGTTTCCGTACACTTCACATACTTGCCGATAAATTTCCATAGGTTTTAGGTTTTTTGTCAACAAAAAACGTACCACAGACCACACCCCACAACTGGCGAGATTTTCAATTGCAGTCCACATTTTAAATTTGAATATCGAAAAACGTGGAAATGTTCCCATTGTGATGGCTGGATGCCGACTTAGATGCTGAGCACGCAGACACCAAAATATATGTTATCGGCGCACGCCTAGCGACAGCAGACGGAAACGTTCCTTACTTTCTGAATAGCCTACGTATATTATATTATATATATTTATATTTAGCTTCTTCATACATAATACTATATTTAAGCAATGTTACTTTGAAAACAGTAATATCTTTCATGTGACACGAAAGAACTAATTTTGATGATGATGCAATTTTAATTAACATAAAGAATATTTCACAATAATAAAAATGGTTCATTGTTTTTCGTTTTTAAATAAATGCATTTTAGAATACAATCTACAGAATTTTATTTTACAGTAACTCAAATTTTTTAAAAATCTCATACTTGAAATAAATAATGGGAAAAATATTTAATTACTTTGTTAATATGTAAATTATAAAGGTAAATTTAGCCTAGTATAAATTAAAAATTAAGATTGCTAGTTTGATTTTCAGCAGGGTGGCACTGTCTCACAAAAGGTATTAGAGTGGTCTTGGAGGGGGGTGAAGCTCCAAATGACACTGTAGGGTAATGATAAAAAACAGTACTAACAGTATGTTATGGTGTATAATGTGCACTTTTAATACAAAAAAGCGAGACTGAAATTTATTGGTGCACGTTGGACAATGGATATAAAAATGACAGATTTAAAAATAAGATGAGCATACAAAAATTTGATTTCTACATGTACCTAAATGCTGTTACTGGTGATTCTGCGATTTTTTAGGACACATTTTGCAACATCATCTTTCTATGATAGGCTATTTCGTTACTCCTTTACACAAAGTACATTTACTCTTTACATTTACATTAATTATTGTGATTTAATTTTTCTTCCACACATGTATGGAGTTTTCACCAGCACTAAACGTCCTTGCTGCAGCACAATTTCCATTTTCTGTTGCAAACTGAAGAACTTTGCATTTGAAATCAGCACTATGGTTATTTCATTTCGCAGAAGCCATATTTACTACTGAAAGAACACTAGATTAACTGTATTTCAGCTAAAGCAAATGCGATTTACTAAGGCCATTAATGTTCACTTCAAAAGTATGGCTTCAAATGACTATAGAAAGAGAACTCTCTGACGCCTAACCCCGCAAATTCATTCGAGCCAGAAATAAATTCCTATCCCAATTCCCCAATTTCCTAGAAACACTAGAATAACATACTTGTATACTTCTGCAATGAATACAACCACCTTCTCTGCAGAATTATTTACTCCCTCAAGCATTCACTCCTTGACATATTGTTCCCCTTATGGCTCACCAATTCAGTACACCATTGTTCAAAAGCTTGCAAAAAATCTTTGAATGAATGATTTCAAAAGATAATAGAATAGCACAAAAAACACTGTGCTTTAAAGAGAAAATAAATACACGCCTGAAGTGTGAGGCAGGCTGGAATGAGTCAGCTCACATCCAACTTATAAGCATATATCAATACCTCATTAGAATGTGATACTATGCACATCAATGATACACTTGGTGCTATTTTCTACATGTTTAAAAATTTAAAGCAATAAAATGGTTTGTTGCCATGTTACTGGATGTTCACGAAAAAGTGATGCATGAAAAATTAAGGATAAAGGATTCCATAGATATGCCATTTTTATACATAAAGTAATTTATATTTTACTTCCACTCACATTGTTTCTTCTTTCGTGTTAGAATTCCCTAAACATGGTGGTTTTAAGACTGAAAATACAGTTTACAGTACGCATTAGAAACAAGATAATACTGAATGTAATGAATGCAATGTTATTTAAATGTTGTTTTTTAACGCTTTCGTAGATACTACAAGTAAAATAATATCTTATACAATGGTGGAATTACAAGTATTGGTTATAATTATCAGGACTTTTTTGAAAATTAAAACTTGAGTTATTTTATTTATGTAATTTAAAATTATTTTTATGTTGTAGAAAAATTAGGTTATTTTGTAGCAGAGGACATAAAAAATGTGCAATGCCCTTGCCAGGACTTGAACCTGGACATCTCAAATATGCGCTGAGTGTTCTACCGTTAAACCAAGGCATGCAGAAAAGGGGGAGAATATACCATATATACTCCTCCTTTTTAAAGGGCAACTGGGGATTGGGGGACTCAATCGCCAAACTGGTGAAGAATAATCATGTGCTACCTTTTAGTTCAGGCCCCACTGTAGAGACATTAGGTTATTTTGAAGTGGAAGGCATGAAAAATGTGCATTGCCCTTGCCGGGACTCGAACCTGGACTTCTCAAACACACGCTGATTGCATTACTGTTACACCATAAAGGCATGTAAATTTAAAAAATGTTTATGTTATATGTTTATTACTAGTTGATGGTTATCATCAAATATTTATGAAATATGTTTTGAGGCTGAAAAGTTAGTCCTTCTTTTGCTATTACTTAAGCTAGAATGAATTAAAAAATGATTTTTAATAATTTATTAAAATATTTTTAAAGATTACATATAAGGGCATTTTTAAAAAATTCCAAAGGGGCTTTGTCCCTGAAAGGACTATTGTTTTCATTTTGCCATTTTGCGTCGATTCACAACAAACGGCGAATCACTTTTCAAACTGTTGTCACAAAGTATTATCACCCTGTGTTATATTTAAAGAAATTAAATAATGAAAAATCTGCATAAATGTACGTATATTTCTCACATTGTGATAAAACAACGGTACATAGAGCCATCGAATTTAGAATGACATAATCCTCCTACGAATATGGAAGACCAAAATTTGAAATTTGTTTTATTATCGATTTCTTATTTTGTAAAACTTTAACAAATTTTTTATTAACAAACTCAAGGATTTCAAAGCGAACAATGGCAACGTTGTACAGAAAAAAAGAGTTTTATCTCCAATAAGTGAGTGTCTATATCGGAAATTCTAAAGATATGCTCATTTTAAAACTATTTTGCAATATTGCTGTTGAACTGAATTTTATGGTTTAAGTGCGTAAAACATGATATTTAATAAATAAATGTAACACACAAAATGTTAAAAAAGCCCCTTTGGACGTAATTTAAAACCTAAAACATTTCAGATTCCCCCCCCTTTTTTTTAAATAGTTTTCTCTCTAAAACACTAAATGGTATATATATATAAAAAAAGGTTTCTTTGGGGATGTGAATAGTATGATTTATGTTTATTAATAAATGTAATATATTTGTTTGAGAGTGTAAATGTAGGAAAATATTTAAGTAAATATTGGTGCTGTTGCAAAAGCTATATTTAACACACTGACTCTCACAGCACTTTTTGGATTCCGGTCTGAAAAGCCAAATCGATTAAATCATATTATATTATTAAAACAAGGTTGCCACTAAAACAGGAGAATGAAATTCCCTGACTTTTCCAGTTTTTCCAGGCGTGTTTCAAGAAAATTCCAGGCTATCAGCATAGTGCACGTTGGTTTAGCTGAACACAAATTAATTATGGTACCACTTGAAAACACAAAAATTTGCCAGTTACATATGACTTTATATACCCCCAAATAGGGGTTGTTTCCTCCTCTGAGGACTGAGATTAGAATCTGCCCAATTAAGACTTAAAAATGTCTTTACTGCAGACATTTTGCAGCTAAAGGAAGAAAGAAGTCTATTTAATGATGTTTTAAAACAAACTCAAATATTTTATATTTTATTTAGCATGCATATATAAGTAAGAAACTTTGCACTAA